TTGTTTGTATTATAAGTCATTTTTAAGAACTTTATCGATAATTTAGTCAGAGTATTTTATGTAATCCTGAAAATTGTTTCAAATTGATGCAAGATCAAGGATTAGTACCTGATACTCCTAAATTAAAGTTAGAATAAGTTACAAGGTGAAAATCAGGTAGATTTTAGATGTCAGAAACGATCTAAACCACACTCACTATCGATAAATAAATTGAAAAACACCTTTTTTCTTAATTCTCACTTTGGATTTCTAAATATTTTGACCTTGATATACTTTTTCAGCATAAACATCACTAACAACCAGTTTCTCATTCGTGAAACTAGCACTAGATTAATCACTACAAGTAGCAAAACTATCGCCAATTGGTTAGGTATCGTTTTGTAGAGAAGTGTGTGTTTCTTATACATAGAACGTTTAGTAGCCTATCTAGAATGAGGCTATAATTTGTAGTTTTTGTTTTGTTTTTTATCCTATTAAATCGTTACCTATATTTTTTAATCTATATATATAATTCCGTAAGTCAAATTTTTGTAAAGAAATTGCCAGTGACTGGATGGCCGTAGAAGGATGGGAGGGGTCTTATTTTAAAGGTCTTGACGTGAATTTTGAGGGAAAACTATTCATTTTTCTTATTTTTTTACCATAAATTCGCAACAGAATAAAACTTTTCCCATTAAAACAACATGGGGTTTAATTTGTTTACATCTTTTGAAATTAAAACCGCTGTGCCACAGATTTGAAAACAGTGATCAATACACGCATTTGGTTTACTTTTAGCCAGTCAACTATGAAATGTATACTATAATAAAACTGAAATATTGAAGATTAGTCGGAAAATTCTTTGTTTATATTTAAATCATATACTCAAGTTTCATTTTTTCATGCTTTTACGTTATTGTCGTGTTAAAGGAATAAACGACATAGAATAAATATTCTGTATAAATAATCAAAGAGTCGAAATTAAATCTTTTAAATCATATGTTCAAGTTTATTTTAAATGATGTTGTTTTCTTTATATTTCTACACATTTTAAGGTTAAGGTTGTGTAAATATATACAACTAAAATAACCTATAAATGTTATTGGTTCTAAAATGGTGTATTTGCATTCCTTCGTAAGTAAATTTTTTTAGTGCAGTGAATATACAACGTAGAGTAATCATATTCGATCATACTTTTATAAAATCACCAGGGATTCAAGATGTTTTGGTATGTAGGCTGCTGGATATATATTCTTTTCATTATAAGTACTGTAATTAATATGAACGCCAGGGGAATACCACAAAGGCGGGGAACTGTTCATAGGAATGACAGTGCGCGTAGGAGAGCAAGAGTAGATAATGACGAACTTAATCAAGATATGTTACAACCCCTTTTTAGGAGACCCATGGTAGACGAGAGAAATGTAAAGATCCATGATGCAGGATTACTGGACCAAGAGTGCATTCAATGTAGTGCTCTTCATTTTAGAGAAGAACTAACGAATAATCATTTTATGACATGTTGCCATAACGGACTTATTAACCTTCCTCAGTCAAAAACTAATGTAGAACTTAAAAGTTTGTTTGAAGAGAGCCCACAACTGTATAAATTCATTCGACAATGCAACAGTGCGATGGCTTTTGCTTATTTTTCAGCCAGTAAGAAAGATATTCCAGGAAAAGGACCATACTGTTTCAAAATTCAAGGACAGATTTATCGTTCAATCTCAGATTTGCTGCCTCAACATGATGAAGACCCCGTGTATGGCCAATTGTACATTATTGACACATCAACAGCAACAGAAATTCGTCAAAGGCGTCGAGAAAATAGTGACTTAAAACCTGAAATATTGTCAAAACTAGCTGAAATTCTATTAGAAAATCCATTTGCACAAATTTACAAAAGAGCTTCGGAAGAAATGGTTGTACAAGGTGACAGTGAATTAGAACTTAGGTTTGTAGACAGGATAAATATGGATCGTCGTAGGTATAATAAGCCTACTGCAGATGAAATTGCAGGCGTCTTCAATTCATCTGAAGGCGAACCTCCAATGAATTTTTAAAATTCCAAACAGGGAAGCTTTTATTTATCCTCATTAACCACAAGACCAAAGCTACCTTAGTAAATCAGTATTTATTCACAAACAATGATATGTTTGCTGCCTTTTCATGTTAAACCACTGGAGTGATTCAAATTATTTATTGAAAATGACATCAACAAAAGCAAACAAAGAAGAACAACAAACTGGTTTTTACACAAAAGATATGGTGTAGGGATGCCTATTCTGACACATAGATAATGTTATTCTGAGTTTGTTTAAATACCGGTATTGCAAAAAGTTGTTTAACATTTGAGCTTTTTAGGGACTTATGTCCCTACAAGCCACTAGTTTTCTTTATTTACAAATTGAAGATAAACTAACTTAACTGATCATAATTACAGCTGATATATAATTTAAAACGATATTAAAAATCAATTGGAAATAACCCTAATTACGATTATTCAATATAGATTAGGTAATCAATATCGAATAATCGATATAACAATCGATATTTTCATTCGAATGAGTGTAGGACGTTAAGTAAAGTGCAGCCGTATATTTTCCCCAGGTAGTAGCCTAGGTAAAAAAGCTTTACAATGACAAAAAAAACACTAACTTAACTGATCATAATTACAGCTGATATATAATTTAAAACGATATTAAAAATCAATTAGAAATAACCCCAATTACGATTATTCTATATAGATTGGGTAATCAATATCGAATAATCGATATAGGTAACAATTTATATTTTCATTCGAATGAGTGTAGGACGTAAAGTAAAGTGCAGCCGTATATTTTCCCCAGGTAGCAGGTAAAAAAAGCTTTACAAAGACAAAAAAACACTTTAGAAACTATAATATAACTTATTGGGTGTTTATAAATGAATATCGGGGTCTTAAAACCTTTAGGCCTACCGCTAAAAATAATAATCAAATGAAAAAGCAACTCAGAGTTTATATGCGTTCCAACAACAAATGATTTTTAAAAAACCAATCCAGTAGAGTTGTAGATTTAATTGTACAAAGTTAAAAAGAAATCTCCAACTTTTTCACCACTATAAATTGGGAGGTTGCTTAACATTTTTGAAAATAACTTTTAAATGGTGATGAAATTGACCAAAGTGGAAGGTAATATTCCGAAAGAGAATAAGATTTCCTACAATTTACTATTATGCATTTCTTAAAAATAGGCTAGGCCTACTCAATAAAGGGGCCTAGCCAAAAATTGCTTTAAAAAAATTGAAAATCCCCAAAGGACTTAATACAGTCACGAATCTGCAAAACACCCAAACTACCTACCTCACATGTCTTTTACAACTTATAAAAACAAATTTTAAGCTGTTCGACAAGTTTGGTTGGGTTATGTGAGGTTATAACGGTGTCAATTTGTAATACCTAGGCTAGGCTATATCAATTATTGGCTGCACTTTACTTTAGGTCCTACACTCATTCAAATGAAATTATCGATCGTTATATTGATTAATTGATTGTTTAATTCGATATATCCTTTGGTTTGTTAGGTAAGGTTAACCTAACCTAACTAACCAAACGATATATCGAATGAAACAATCGAATAATCGATATTTTCATTCGAATGAGTGTAGGACCTAAAGTAAAGTGCATCCCAATTATTTTTAAGGAAATTCCTTCTTAATTTTTCATAATCCAGTCCAGATGTCCAACCAAGAGGTGTTAAAATTAAATTTTAATCAAATATTTCATAAAGCCTAGGCCTACTTAGCTAACGTATTTACTGTCTTAAGTGTGGGTTGTGAGGGTAATTATTTAAGTTAGGCCTTAAAATGACATACAATCAATCAATAAATGTGACTTGGGCTATTAACTTTAAAACTTTGATTTTAGAGTGGAAATATTGATGTGCAGATCAACATTCCTAATACAGTTGAACCTCTATAAGACAAATTTCAAGGGGTACGGGGATAATTCTTACTATAGAGGTATTCTTAATAAAGAGGTTCGTTTTATCGAGGTTTAATGCTGCTGTTATTCTTCTTATAAACTTAGAGGTTTCTCCTCGCTCCAAGGTTTCTCCAAACAATGACTGAGGAAGGAGGAGGGATGGGTGGGGGTTTCATGTTGAGACAAGCTTCTGTTTGTTTTGAAAACTGCGTACTATGGAGGTTAAGATTATGAGAAATTCGTCTTATAGAGGCCACGTTCGTCTTGTAGAGGTTTTGTACTAAGAATATTCGTTGTACCGGTATAGAGGTTAATCAGTCCTAGCCCATATCACAAATAAATTCGTTTTATGGAGGTTTTTAACTTAATTACTACGTTGTATAGAGGTGTTTTTAGCATTGACCTATATGAAAGTTTCAAGGGGATTTAAAAAAATTCATCTTATCGAGGAATTCGTTTTATCGAGGTTCGTACAAACGAGGTTCAACTGTACAACATTAGGCCTAAAATAAAATTCAAACGATCGTAGTTTATCCAGTTTTTGTGACAGCAGAAATATCTTTGCACCATTGATTTCAGGTAAAAATCTAGTTTCTAATGATATGGCCTATAAAATAAGTTACTAAGTTATAGCTTAGGTTCTCTTGGTCACCTTTATACGCTTAATTACTAACTTATGTCAATTACGTAAGTTATAGTTAAACGCAAACAAATCATAGGTTAACTCAATTCAATGTTTACGATAGGTATTATGTTTACGATCATGTTTAAATGTAAGTTAATCTATATTTATTGTTATTCATCCGATAATATATCACAGGTTCTCTGCGGAACTGTACTAGGGATGAGCATCGGTAAGTCAACCATCATTGTGCCGATAACATCTAGGCCTAGGCCCTACGCAAAGTAATCAATGTTTTAGCCGGACCCTACGCGAAGTCATCAATGTTTTTGGGGCTAAAACACTGCAACAGCTAATAGGTTATAGCCTATACTTAGAAGCTAAGCTACTCTGCTTTCACAGGACATTTCTTAGAGAATAGATATAATACTTTACCTCATAATGATACAGATCCACTCTTGCAGCAAACGAATTAAAATTTCGAAATAATTCAACAATTCGATTAAAAAGAGTCAACAAGTCTGTCAATAACAGGACAGACGACAGGTAAACCTGGATACTAGACTGGTAAACAAACCACAGTTATAAAATACCATTCGTTTAAAACTTGCTTCAACACATACACTTAACACTAATGGAGCACTAAATAATTAAAGGTACAAAAACACAATTCAGTTGATTTGATTAAGCTTGATTCGTCAAATCGTAACTTTTGGTCGGGAGCATTCGAACACACAGATCAAAATCTGACTATTGTTGACTGAAACTGAAGACTGACTGACTGAAGAAAGAAGAAAAGAATAAACAAACTGAACTGAAAACGAAACTGACTGACAGCGACAGCAGTGTGTAGAATAGATGAAGAGAAGAAGACAAAGTTGGGTTGAAGGTTGAAGTTAAGATTCCAGTACAACAGCTGTAAGTATACTGTTGATTGTGTTTATATTACTAGCACTGACTATAATCATTAATTATACATTATTATAATTATTGTACTATAGTTCGGCCGCGTAGAAAACGACCTGCGCGCTAATGCTAAACCAATGCTGGAGGAGGTCGTTTTCTAAGCGGCCGACCTATACTCCCATCAATTAATTATCAATCAAGGTTGACCTTAGACATCCGGTATTCGTGGGAACAACGTAGACGATCTGACCCGAATGAAGGAGGACGGTCTACATGAGTTTTGACGATGACGACAAGCTCGCAGAAACTGGAAAGGAACGAAAAAACGACTTTCCAGGGTCGAGTTGCGAAGACGGAGGATAGCGGATGCTTTAGCCAAAGGCAAAAAGTAAGGTGCCATCCACAAGTGAGAGGAGGCTGGTGTGGGCTGCCAAGCACCCTAACCCTGCTCCCTGCAAAGCCAGTTCCTCTGGGAACCAGAATGCTGGGAAAAAAGCAGGGCGAGGGTGGCACTCCCAAAGCTGACTCTAATAAGGCTCAAGGAAGAAATGTGGAAACAGGGGGTGAGAGTACCTGACACATGAGGATGTCTGGGGTGAGAAAAGGATACGATGACGGAAGAGGGAGAGGGCTAGGGTGTTTCACAGAGAGCACCAGAACCCACCTATTCGGAGACACTGTCTGTGGAGAAGATGGCTATCGCCAAATCTGAACACCCGGACAGGATACGTATGGAGGCTAAAACCAATCAAATCAAGGGGGAGCTGTCCAGGTGGGTCAATCCTGGCATAGACGTCAGAATAAGCAGCTGCCATATCTTGAAGGCGGAGCCTTGGTAGTTGGCTGTGCTAACGCAGCCACAAAGGATTGGCTGGTCAAGCAAGTTCAGGAGCTGAGTCCCTTCAGAGAAATCTCACTACAGCTTGCCCCAGCCAGAGATCTTGAGAAAGCTGTGAGGGTATATTTATGTGCCTAGCCCTACAATGTCTGCGTATAAGATCCCTTGGCCTATTGACGGGAGATCAAAGGGAAGAACAGGTTACCATAGTCAAGAGGTTCTCACGGTTCACTATAATGACCTGGGATTTGAGGAAGAATGAGGACCTATGAATGAGGGTGCACAATAATAAGCTGTTCTAGCTGCGATGCAATCCCATGGTCACTTACAAGCCTGGCCCTCTGATAAAAAAAACCCGGGGACTTGGGGGGTCCCCGGGAAAATTTGGAATTTTCAAAGCCGTTTGGTGACTTATCCTCCTTAAAGCCTTTTGGTGACGTTCTAAAGCCATTTTTAAAGTCTAGAACTGTGTGCAAAACCTCCCATTTTATGATCTACTACTTACTTGGGGAATTATTTACTCCACGTCGTTCCCAACATGCTGATCAACACAAAATGACGATCAAGTAATGGTATGTTTTCAACACGATACAACCATCAATTATTTCAAATTTGTAAACTACAAGTGCAAAATGTCACAGAAATTCTTTAAAAAAATTGTTTGTATTGTAATAGCCATTACCTGATATCTAAGTTGGGCGATGAAGTATCAAGTAGAAGTACAATAATAGGTTAGAAAGTATAGAACGCGTTGTTTAAACGCAGTGATGTATCACGTGTTTTGTTGATAATAGTATAGATAAAACATACTCCCTTAGTAGATTTCTCATCCTAATCGAACAGCTGAAGACAATTTTATTGTTAGTTCTGTACGGTTTATGTAGAGGTCGTGTTTTGTTTACAATCTGTTTCCCGTTAATACAGTCATTTAAAACCTCGTTTAACCAAATAATACGATCTAATCATAAACAATATATTGTCCGGTGGGGCACACGAAAGATTTCTCAGGTGCCGTTTGACGTCACTAACTGCTGACGTCACTAACTGCTGCGTCTGAAGAAACAGACAATTTTATAGTTTTCTATTATTAAGTTAAACCATATTAAACTGTCATAACCTAACCAAACTAACCAAACGTGCTGATAATGGAAAAATCGAATAAAGGTTTACTAATATAAAAAAAATACTTTTGTCAATAAAATAAAATTATAAATGCCTAAAATTCAATTTTATAATTTATCAATTATAAAATAACTGTCATAACCTAACCAAACCAACCAAACTTGCTGATGTGAAAAAATTGCTGATAAAAAGTTAGTGCCGCCGGCGGGATTTGAACCCGGTACTTTCGGATTATCAGCCCGCAACGCTATCCATTACACCACCGAGGCCGATGGCTCAATACCGTATCGTTGCGGTATTGGTGTTCCCTTAAAGTGATGTCAGCAGTTAGTGACGTCAAACGGCACCTGAGAAATCTTCCGTGTGCCGTTTCGATATATTGTCCCCTTGTTATTTAACCAAACAGTAAAGCACAGATCAAGAAATTAACCCTAATAGAAACAAAATTTCGTCGACACTAGCGCTCAGTGTGGCGTACATGAACTAGACATGAAAAAGGAGCTTCAAAATTTACAATGGGATGAGAAGTCTACTTGTGTTGGTTAGTCTATGATAATAGCTAACTTATGCTTTATTAGTTAAAAAACTGCTTACTAAATAGTTTGTTTAGCTCTCATATACACAAGATCAATATAAATCTTTGCTATTAAACACATGTGGTCAAAATTGGCACACTCAAACGTTTCCACACGAAACAAGCATTAAAAATAGACCGTTTAAATTTCACAACAGGATAGGAAGTTCACTTGCACTAGCTGTAAATAGCAAATAAGTAAATAATAAGACCGCATGTAATAGCCTATTTAGATCAAAAATATCGATTTGAGAGTACCTACGTTACAGAAAGTAAATAAAAGAAACGTCTTACGGGGTAGCGGATTTTTATCCCCCTGGAATTTTACCCCCTGGGCAAACGTGATGTCACAAACCAGGGGGTAAAATTCCGGCCGCGAACTTTTGAGTTTCGCGACATCAGCTCGATGGATTAAACGCGGAATTAAACATATATTTTCACGGTTGTGAATTTAATCAGAACACATCAAATTTTAAAAACCTAGAGTGTACGGCCCGGATTTTTACACCCGGAATTTTACCCCTCGGATTTTTACCCCCGGAATTTTACCTCCGGATTTTTACCACCTGGCCAGATATATAAATTAGTGAGAATGATTAATTATCTTCTGCTTTAATTTAATAGTAAAAATTGTATTACTAAGTAGCCTATATTAATTTATTTGTAACATTAACTAATCGAACAGGTTTTTTATTTTAATTTTGAGATTCTACTACATATTAGTCATCACAACAATTGGTCAAATACAGTGTACCGGATGCCTACAACTACATTTCACAACATGTATTTCGACGACCTTTGTCATTACAAACCATAAATAGCACATGGTTTGTGCCTGAAGAAACAAGAAGGAATATTGTGTTATTGTACAACAGAAACTAAATACATTGTTTTTCACGGTGATACAATAAATTCGTTTCAGAAATGTCCACCCAATTATAATTTAAATGAGCTACTCAGTTTATTTTACATAATTATTAACCAACAGTTCGCCCCAAACGCAAATCCTGAACATCAAAAAACAGCGAATTATGTTTACTTAGTTGAGATTACAAAATAAATAAATAAAAATAGGCCACTAAATAATGAAATGTTTACAATTAATTAAAAATAGAATTAATAAAATCAATCATTCAATTTCTAAATTCGGCCAGGGGGTAAAATTCCGGGGGATAAAAATCCGGGGGTAAAATTCCGAGGGGTAAAAATCCGAGGGTAAAAATCTGGGGGTTAAAATCCGGCCCATACATCTTCAGTTGTCTAAACGCTAATTATATGGACAGGGGGTAAAATTCCGGTTTTTATCGCTAATCTAATTAATCACGCTCTGGCTATTTTCATTAGACTTCCAAATCCGCGGTGGTAAAATTCCGGCCGCGAACAAACTTTTGGCCACTTAGGTTACTACGTCATGGTGACGTCAGCTTTGCCCAGGGGGTAAAATACCAGGGGGATAAAATTCCGGCGACCCCATCTTACAACCCTTAAAAAATATATTTACGCTTATGAGGCGGCCGTGGTTACTCACAAAGACGGTAAATATACATAAAAGATGGTAAGTGGTGATCGATTTCGATTGGACACTTCAATCATCATGTCCAATCGAAATCGATCACCACTTACCATCTTTTATGTACTGTATATTTACCGTCTAGTGAGTAACAGTATAAGCCTAAATATACAGGGTTAGTAAAAAGTCTGGAGACCCGCTGTTAATTTTTTAACGGCCCATACTAGAAAACCTAAACTCGGCACACCTTTATGGCATGTTATGAAGTACTTTTTGGGCATAACCGCCACTTGGTGTACATCCCCAAAATGAGGGATTTTGGGGGAAACTCAAAATTTTCAAAAGGTAAGACCCATCAAGTGACCCCTCATTTTTAAGGTCGTGATAAAAAAAACTAACAACGCAAACTAGAGGTCTCTATCTCAATTCAGTAAAAAATGGCAGCTGATTGAAATCTTTAGATATCAGAATCAACTTGCAATTTTATATTCAATTGGCTGCCATATTCTACTGTGATAAGGTAGAGAGAGACCTCTAGTTTGCGTTGTTAGTTTTATTTTATCACGACCTTCAAAAGGAGGGGTCACTCGATGGGGCTTAACATTTAAAATTTTTGAGTTTCCCCCAAAATCCCGCATTTTGGGTTTGGGAAAAAAGTAGCAATTAGGCTAAAAAAAATACTTCATAACATGCTATAAAGGTGTGTATAGTTTAGTTTTCCTAGTGTGAGCTGTTACAAAATTTACAGGGGTTCTTCAGACTTGGGAAGCTGTAAGTTAAATTTAACTTCTGAGAATTCCAATTGGCTGCCATTTTTTACTGGATTGAGATAGAGACCTCTAGTTTGCGTTGTT